CAGGTCATTCATATCTACAAGAGTGTCCAGATAGGTTATTCGAATGGGCGTAACTACTCGTAATGTCTTATCAGCTTGTGAGAGGGGGTTATTCATGTGTTTGTAACACTTTATAAATAGAAAGCTATGAAAGATATATAGAGCGTTATTTTCATCATCGGTTTACACACTCCCGCAGTATTCATGGCGAAAACACACGTTTCCCGGGGGGGCCCGCTGTACACCAACAGTACACATTTGAGTGACCCCGGCGGCCTGTCCGGCACGTCCGACGTAATCAGTTGCCGATAAGATACGCTTCTGGGCACAGACGCAGGATAAGAGTTAAAGGATGACTTTCAGTAACTATAGCGACCACTCCAACAAACACATTAAAGAAAAGGAGAGACCTAACCCTAACCCTAGAACCCAAACCCTAAGCCTAACCCTACCCCAAACCGAATCCTAAACCTATACCCTAACTACCCTATTCCAAACCCTACCCTATCCCCTACCCCTCTGTTCTACTCTGTCTCATAGTGGTCGCTCGTTATGGAAGTCCTCCTGTATTAAAGATACAGAGGTAAATGTACAAGAGGCTTCTTTTAAATATTGCCTTAGATTTTGTAGTTTTAGCCTACCCTTCACCTCTGTCAGAGTGCAAAAATTAGCTAACAAATCCTTTGTCCATCTTGCTCCAGTTTGGAACTCTTGTCCACAACCCCTGAGACACACAGAACTTCAGAGTCTATTATTAGGAATCATGATATAATTTAAAGACACATTTTGATTTAATGAAATCTTTTCAGAACCATTATTGAGCTAATTTTATAACTTTATTAAAGCTTATTTTTAGTTACAGTTGCCACCACTTTATGGTCAAAGTCAATACATAATGTAAGGGATGTCAGTGTTTCTGATTTATGGCCATCATGTTTCTGTTTCTCATTCTGTCTGTCGCTGTGTTTCTGTCGTGTGGAAACAGGTTCTGGCCCTTTTCTCAACAGCACAGAACTTGTTTATATGGTGGACGGGTAATTCATTTTCTAATATTACCACTCAGAAACCCCTCTATGTTGTGTTGTGTCATCATCATCATCATCATCATCCAGTGCCAGATCTGCGACAGACATCGGCGATCATGATTTTCCATTCATTCCTTTGCTCGGATGCTCTCAGAA